AAAAGGACTGAGGAGAGACCTTGTCGGGGTAGCAACCCTAAAGGAGAGAAATACATTTTGTACCATTGATTGTCAGTGACAGTGGGGAAAAAGCAGAAGTACTCAGTTCACAGTTCAAAAGTGTTTTCACCACAGATATGCCATTTCTCGGTCAGCCCTGTACTCCCTTAATGGAACATATAGAAAGTTCTATCCCGGTCTCAATCCGTCTAAAGCATCCGGACCAGACCAAATACCACCCTGGTTCCTTAACCCTCAACAGTACACCTTCCCGGACTGATTAATCTGTACACCTGGGGTCCGCGCGGACCCCAGAACAGTTTTTTGCTAATTTTTAGAAATTATCAACATGCTACCAGCTCAATTGTTTTGCAAACTGATGCGGGAACCTCTGTGTCCACATTACATACAAAAACCATACATTTTGAACCTTTTCTATTTTTTGGTGAAGAAAAGAAGACAAGAAGAAATACCCGATTTTTAAACCCATTTCAGACTGAAGGGGCTTTTGAGGCCCAACTTTGATCTCAGATAGCGGCTAAACGGCTTGCGCTAGAAGTATCAAATTTGGAGACCTTTCCTAAAATGTCTCTGGAAAAAAGTTCATATTAGTTTAATACTAGTAAGTTGATGTTTTTTTGTGTTGCCATGGCAACGGGTTTCTAGCAGGCGTTTTTTTTGAAAATAGAAGTAATTTTGGTTTCAACATAAAAATTGTCTGAGTTTTATATTAAATTACACTTCTTTTCCAGCATTAATAACATCTTACATAATTAAATATAAGTTAAGTCATTTAATATGCATAGAATATGCTAATTTGATGACGTCATTGGTCAAAACTCAATATGGTGGACTATATTATTAGCTCTGACGTCACATGACGTCATAATTACACCAAAGTTATTAAAATTTGATTCTATTACTACACCATTCTCTGAAAACTTGGTAGACATACGATGAGTGCATAAAAACATATAAAAACGGAAATAAGGCAATGTATAAGAACGCCAGTGTATCCATTATGATCGAAAGCCGGCTGGGGTCCGCGCGGACCCCAAAAGAAAATCAGATATAATTTTTTTTATAAATGGTAGAAACGGAGTTTTCTGCACTGTATTGAGAGACAACTTTGTGGGTGACAATTACCTAAAATTTCAGAAAAAAAATCTTTAGAAACAAAAAAGATATTACAGAATATATAGTGCTGGGGTCCGCGCGGACCCCAGGTATACTGTTTTGGGTTAAATTGACAGCTAGTGAAATCGCCCCTGTACTTACCAATATTTACAACACTCTTTAAACACTGCATAAATCTCTAAAAACTGGAGGGATGCAAATATATGCGCCATCTTTAAAAAAAAAGAGATGGAGCGGTCTCCAGGACCTGCATATCCTGCATCCTCCCGAGGCAGGGTCGGCGGCGCGGTATTCTGTTTACCTTACAACCGACCCTGCCATATTAGGCCCAGTCTTCTACTCCTAGGCCCAGTCTTCTACTCCAGATGACGTGGCCCTCAAGGAGCTGTCAGCCAATCAGAGACATAGATTTCAGTTGTGCAAAGCTAAGGGCAAAGGTCACCAGGAATCAGAGAGCCAATCATGTTACGTCTTACATCGCCTCTTTGGGTTTTATGTATAAAATGGGGGTTGGTAATGCATTATATTGTCTCAGTCGTGCAAGCCTTTTTGGGCATCAAACAGCTCGTGAACACCAGAAAATCACGCTACAGGGACTAAGTGATGGCCGAAACGTGTTCCTTAGGACAAGCGGACGGAAAAGCCTGTGCTACATGGGCTTTCAAGCCGCAGCCAGATCGAGTAGCCAACGACGGATCTACGGTCTACTCAACTCAAGAGTGACGAGTCCAGCATCCGTGGCCGTTTGGATCTGACCTCATTATATTGTCGTGAGTCCGCTGAATGCGATAATGAAAGTTCAATGTGACAAGCTGAGCTTGCTGGGCCTGAAGGTGACTTGTTTAGTTATGAACGCAGCCAAGCGTGGATGAGTTACAGTGGGCTTCTCTCCAAGGCCGCCGCCGTACCACCAGACTCGCCATGATGTACAAGATCCAGCATGACCTTGCATGTGTGAGATGCGACGCCTTGAAGCCCGTGTCTGGCAGCAGGAGAAGCCGGAGAGGCCACAGTCAACAGCTCCAGGACATAACTTGCCGCACGAACTACAAACACTATTTCTTTCTTCCTCGCACTATCCGCGATTGGAACGCCCTGCCCACAGACACTGTCCAATCCCCGTCCCTGGCCACCTTTGTCTCGAGGGTGTCCAGTCCGGCCTAGACTCAGTCACGCTGGTGACCTTCGACCCGAGACATGTCAATTATTGCCGGTATCGGCAGTTGGACATTACCGGAAGAAGAAAAAGAAGAAGCCGAGACAGTGGTGACAGTGTTTACGTCCGCAATCTTGAATTTATGTGATCCTGGAGCTGATTGGCTTGTGCAAAATAAGGCAAGCTCAATAATGGTGGCCCCCAAGCCCTTTTCCGTAGAGCGTAATCGGCCGTTTTAATTCTACGTAGAGCGTAGACGGACCCTCTAATTCAACGTAGAGCGTAATTGGCGCATTTGGCGTAGAGCGTAATTCGCCGTTTTAATTATACGTAATGCGTTGTAGCTATCGGGAATTAACCGTAAAGCGCAATCGATTAATTGTGCGTAGAGCGTAATCCAAGCCGCAAACGGGAACTCGAGGCCTCGCAAGTTCCGGGTTGTCGCGGCGCTCGAGGTCTTTCTTGCTCTACCCCCTTCTATACAATCAAACAATCCACTAGACTTGTTCCCAGAGCCATACACAAGAACAAGGCAACACATGGGAATGATCCCACCGTGCGCTGGGTACGAGATTGACCTTACCATCGGTGACGTACAGGAGGACCATTGGCCAAACGCCACAGATGGCCAGAGATGAAGAGGGTAGAAGGCCTTAGAACCACATGACTTGTACGGCCCAATAGGGGCCTTACATGCGTTTCTTAGCGGGAACATCATTGCTGATAAACGGCCAGGGTA